TGTGTGTGTGTGTGTGTGTGTGTGTGTGTGTGTGTGTGTGTGTGTGTAAGCTGCAGGCAATTTTAATTCTCTTGGGCAGGGAGTCAAATGTTCTGTTTCTTCAATGCTAAATACTCCCCAGTCACTTCATTGTGAGGCCAAGAGAAAGGTTTAATAGCTATCTTCTCATGCCTTGTGCCACTGGGACCAAGCTAAAATAAGGGTAAATCAGATTCTCTGCCCAGTAAATCCTCTTATCCAAGCAGGCTCTCTGGCTTCCTTCCTTTGCCTCTGAGTCTTGAGTTTATTCAGATGGCCCAAGACAGTACTTAGTTATCCAAGCTGTCCACATAGTTGGAACACATCCCGAGGTTTCTTTCAAGTATGGGTTACCATTGTGGGATAAACAGTTTGGACACAATAAATTCTCCAAGCTTTAACTTTTCCTCAAGATCTGAGACAGCAGAGGCATTTGGCCCTGCACAGTTCATCCCAAGTGGCCTTATCTCAATATGAGGTCGATATTTTCTGACAGGAAAGCATAAAAGGGACAACAGGAAGATGGCAGGTCAAACTGCACAGTCTGTGCCCTCCTTCCTCCCCCGAGTCTCTGCAGCTGTGAGTGGGGTTGCTCATGTCCATCTGTAAAGACACAGGAGTGTGACACTCAGTTCAGCCACTGTTGCCAATGCACAAAAAGCCAAGGACAACCCAGGTAGAGCTAATTTTTTTTTTTTTTTAATTCACTGATAGCTACTATGCACAACAATCAAAGGGGGTCCTGCCCTCATTCTACTCCAGGGAGCACAGGAAATTCTTTTAAGAAGAAACAAGTAAGTTGTACAGTTCTGTGAGCATGTAAATGCATGGAAATACAGAAGTGGATCCAGAAAGGAAGCTTTGACTTGCTGAGACTCTAACATGTGGAAACTTCCATCAAATGTTCACTTTTGTGTTCTCATGACATCTGAGAACAATAGGGGTCTCGGAAATCATTGAGCCTGATCCCCCTTTAAAGTGTAGAGATGAGAAAGCTGAACCCACAAAAACATAAGCACCTAGAAGTCATACAGTTATTGGGGGCGTAGTCTGGGGTGTATGACTGCATAGTGGAGACAGCTGGGGTCTCTGAGTGTGTGCCAAAGGAGGCACTAGGCCTCAGACCCTGAGACCCCATACTGGCTGCTGCTGGATGAGTCTATCTCACTGAGGGCGGAAGTGAACACAGCTCCACCCCAGAGCTCAGAGGAGTCCTGGCTTGCTGCTGCTCACTGATTTTGAGGTCTTGAGGGAAGATCACTGGTGGTTAGCAGGGCTGAGTATTATACCTCTCTCTGCCATTAACCCACTGGCTGTGACCATGCTTGGCTCCCAGCAATGCCCCTAATATGAGAGGAAAGACAAAAATGGAACCCAATGGGAATCGCTGTGCATCTGTTTACAGAAAAATGGAACCTTCAGGGCATCATGTAGCCAAACTGTGCCTCAGTGTTCTCAACTGAAAGGTGAAGGGAGCTGTAGCCACACTTTCTGTGTTCTTTGGAATACCCCTGTTCCACCTCATTGGGCCTCTGTGAGGATCACCTAGGCAACGCCTGCAGAATATACGTCAATTACAAAATGGCTTATTTTTTTAGTTATGCAAATAGTGTTTTCCATTGTGAAATTTCCATGCATACATGTTATGGTGCCTTGGTTACACTGATCCTCCACTGCTCTCCTCACCCTGGGCCCGGTCCTCCCTCTAAATAGCTTCCCCCATTTCTTCTTCCGCTTTTATCTGCACTTAATAATTTGAAGAAGTTGCTTTTTATTTTATTCAGTAATTACACTTTTTTTCTATTTTCACTTTCTGCTCATCTTTATTAATGTTTCTATTGATCTTGGTTTTTTTAATGGGCAAAATCTCTATAAATAGTTATGTGAAAATATGGAGAATGATAATATTCTTTGAAATTAGGATGAAAAGAATAAAGAGTATTAGTAACTCAATGGGTTATTCAGCAATTCATGTCTGAACACGTGAGAAAATGATATGCTTATGAAACATGAAGGAACACAATCCAATACCAGACTAAAACATCCAGTGGTCGAACCACCACCAGCCCATTTTACACTGAGCTTACTAGTCTAGATAAAACTTTCTTCCTGTATTATCTGAGGATTAGAGTCTTTTGCCTGAGGCACATTGGTGAGTCCTCTATTTATGCTTTCTCCTCTTCTCAGGGCTGGTGGACACGGATAAGGGAAGGGAGATGCAGATGCTATGTCTAGTTTCAATCACTCTAGAAGAAGTCATAACAGGGATTCTCAATGGAATGTTGTAATTCTTAGATGAGGACATTTGTTCTGTGATGCCAAGGTAGGTGGAGGGTAGTTGCCTAGCAGATTGTGTATTCCCAGACATGAAAGGTATGCCAGGAACTTTAGGAAGTCATTTCTAAATCCAGTGACAGCCCTGTCTTGTCTAGAAGATATCAGTGAGGTGCTCTTCCTCCCTCCTTCTCTCCCTCCTAAGCTGCTCTATAGCACTAATGTTTTTAATCACCACATACGTCAGGTTGCACCTCGTCACAGTTACTCTCACCCCTCCTGAAGCCCTGGTAGTGAAGGGAGCTCTGCTGAGGGCTGGATCGATGATTTGAATAAACATAAAGTATGATGACTCACTACTTCTAGAGCCTCAAAATTAACATCACTTTTGATCATACAGTAAGGGAAACATTGCCACTCAGAATGGCATTTGAATTGAATGCCTGAGCAATCACTGTATTCTTCAGTATTCCAGCCAGTACTTTTATTAAGGCCCTGACTGAAGGAGAGCAGAGGACATGTTAGAGGTGAGGTGGAAGAGTTGGGGAGCAACTATTGAAAAGGAAAGGACAAAGTGAGAACAGAAATTATACTCGGGATAATCTGTCCTGGTAACAGCAATGTGTTTGGACACAGAAATGTTTATTTCAGCACACTCGTAAAATAATAATGTCTAAGTATTAAATCACTTGACTGGCTAACATGGATCTGCAGGCTTTGTGCCCTTGAAGCAGTCTCCCTGAAGGGCTGTCTGTCTGATTTTTGACCTCGATAGAGAGAAAATAAAATAAATGAAGGTATGGTTGCAACTGAGCTCAATGTGATGTGACTTGGACAGGGGCAGAGACATCAAATTTTGGGTCAAGTAATTTTGCTCATCTCTGGCCTCTGCAGTTCAGCGGCAGCAGCAGGAGGTACCAGCTGGAGGGGTCTGCCCTCCTCTGATCTGAGTCTTTGTCAATGCCATCACTAGCAGTCAGGCTGCTTTCTGAATATACACAGCATTTTTTTTTGAGAGTACAGTAGCTATTCTTAACATGCCAAGCTAACCGTATCTGTTGATTTCTGACATCTACACATGCTTTAAAAAATAGCTTCAAAGCCCCAGATACTTAAAAGCAAAAATTACCCTTCTGTTTATAAAGGGCAAGATCTATTTTTAAGTTGTTTTTTTTTTTTTTTTCAAACTTCCACTTAGTCTGTCTCAGCTGAAACAGGAAACTGTTGATAAGGTTGTTTGCTGGGGAGAGCCCAGGAGGACAGGAAAGAGGAGAAAAGGCAGATGGGGAAACACTTCCAGGTCCCTGACAACAAAGAACTGTTTCTGTACTTACAATAGCAGTTGGGGTGGCAGCCAGGACGCAATAGAGCACCAGAGGGGTGATAAAGCTCTCCTCCTCCGTCCCGGGGTAAGGCTTCATTAAGTCTCCATCCTGACAGAAGAACCCTTGGATATGCACCTGAAAAGTGTCAGTGCATTCGAAGTAGTAGGCAAGCAACACCGTCCCGGCCATGATGACAAGCTGAAAATAGAGCATGGCCACACAGCGACATTAGCAGGGCTTCGGAGCAGGGCTTGACCCTCAGAGCACACCCCCCACCCCCATCACCCTGCAGCACTTCTGGAGTTGGTATTGGCGAGTGTGAACGTGCCTGGCTCAGCATGCTCTGGGCATTGGGATTGTGTGCTAGCTTGGCTGCTTGCTAATACTTGCTGTAGAAACCTTTCAGCAAATAACGTGCAGACCCCATCTGAAGGGCAGACCCCAGCACGGCTTGTGGGGAGACTGAGCTTCTACCACTATGTCCTTGAGTATCTGTGGAAACCAAGATGGCAATGTGCATTCAGGCCGGAGGTGAAAGGTCAAAGGGCAGTGGCTTCAGAGTTGGAAGGATGTTGGTGTGAGAAATTTTAGAAATTATTAAAAATAGACTTACCATACAAAATGTTTGTCAGGAGGGAATGACTGAGTGAATGAAAGAATGATAAAGAAAGAAGGAAGAAAGAAGAAACAAAGAAACAAAGAGAAAAGAAAGAAAGAAAGAAAAAGTAGCAGGGCTAGGAAACTTTTTCAGAATCATGCCCTATACTATTGGCAGGTATTCGACATGAGGAATGGCTTTTAAGTTTTTATAAAATGCTTCCCACTGGAAAACCAAGGACATTGCTGCTGATCCTATCTTAGATCCTTCAAAAGATTTAGACATAATGGGACACAATTTCATTTTTGACTTATGAATTTCTTAGATACTCCTTGGTGTAGGTAGTTGTAAGAAGTATGAGGAATTGATGGGATATAGTAGTTCAACATTATTTTTCCCATTGTACTTGAAAGACATCAAAATGTCAAGATAAGATAGCAATGAAAATGGTGAGAAAACTGCCTAGATCCTCTTCCTCTGTGGCCTGGCAAGGCCGCATTGCCAGAGGCAAGTGATCAAAGAGCAGGCAACCGAGTTCATGACAGAGGCAGTCCCTGATCCCCTTACTTAGGAAGCTACATAGAGATAGAGCCACAATGAATAAACTGTAAAAAATACAAAATTTAAAAACAAACAACAACCAAAGCAATCTAAAATAGAAAAAGAAAGAGAAAAAGTGTAGAAAACAGGGCTTTTTGGTTATGAGATTGTGAAAGCAAAAGTCAGGAGAGAAGGTAGACTCTTTGGTTCCCATGCTCTACCTCAGAAATACAAAAGCTGAGGTCCAGAGAACAGAGCTGCCTATGGCTAGATTACCTATATGTAACTGAGCATGTGTTGAGACAGCATGGATGAAATGGGGAAACTAAAGTGAAGAAAACTGCTTTCAAGTTTTCATTGGTTTAGCGGTATCAAGCTAAACCAATCATTATAGGAAAACAGTATAGTCAGATGTCTTTGTATAGCTTCAGTTGAAACTTGATTTTGTTCACAAGTATGTGTAAGGCTTTGAAAGGGAAGCCATAATGTTTTAAGGGTTTAGGAACACTGAACTTTTGTTGAGCCACAGTCTCATGTAGCCCAGGCTACCCTTGAACTCACCATATGGCCAAAGATGCTCTTTAACTGCTATTCCACTTGGTTCTATTTATCAAGTTCTGGGATTATAGGCATATGCTGCCATGATCCACTTGTCCAGTGCTGAGTGCTGAAGCCAAGAACCCGAGGCTTTGTGCAGACTAAGCAAGCATTCTACCATATCACATGCTCTACCTTTGAATTTCTCATTCCATCCCCAGAATGACTAGTTCAGAGTCACACAGCCAATTAGTGTTAAAGTCAGGACTAAAATACATACACTTTATCTCCAGATAAGCAACAGCAATACCCCCTTCCTTAAACAGACAAAAACAAAAACAAAAACAAAAAAAACTAAAAACAAACAAACAAACCTAAAAAACACCATTAAACAAAAAATGATCTATAATGCAGCATTAAAACTGTATCCTATCCAGAAAGGCAGGGAAACAGGGAAGAGAAAAATAGGTCAGTCCTGGTAGAGAGGCACTATTCTGTCATATCCTTTTCTGATCCTTTAACATCAATGTTGACACAGCCTCACACCTGCCCATCCTAACCCTCATGGAGCCATCACAGCTTCTCCTTCTGGGGAAATCCCTCTGTGGGTCTACCTCACCATAGCAGGAAGGACCATTTTTCTCAGGAGTTCTTGGGTTAAGAATACCTCAGTTCTTCTAATTTTACTTCTTTCTCTGTGCCTTTCCTTTTTGACTCAGAAGCCTTTTGTATCTCCCAGCTGTAGTGTGTTTCAAGTACAGACTCCCCATCATCCAATACGTATGTCTTTCTTTTGGCCACCTCAGTCACCATTTTTCCTCTTACTCCAGAAGGCCACATCACACTCCACTCACTGTCCCCTATATATGACTAGTTTCTGGCTCTAGAGGATTTAGTTTTCTAATGTCTGACATTTTCTGTCCACCGGCCCTTTGATTACAACTCATGACCATCTAATCAGTAATCTCCAGAAGGCCTTCTGTGTCTCTCTAGACATGAAGTTGTTTATTGGTACTATTCACAAAGCACCAACTTTTCTTCTGGTCTTCTCTGTTGACTCAATTATTTGGATTATTATATAGCAGCAGGGAAAAATCTTGAATAAGCATATTTCCCATATGGCTGAGAGATAGGCAATCGAAAGCAGCCCCTGTGAGATAGAACTCTTACCTACAGCTAGCTTCTAAATTCCAACTATGCACAAGACTTATCTTTGCATATTTCTTCCACATTTCTAGAAGCACAGTCTTCTATTTTTTATCTTTATCAGCTCTTAGGAGACACCTAGTTGGAGAATAGATAGGATCTGCGGGAGGCATTTCAGAGTCAAAAGTAAAAGTGGCTTCTAAGTTCCTCTAGTGGGAAAGAACATTTTATTTTAGTAGGAATGTTTGTGCCTCAATTCCTTTGGCGAAAACTGAAAGTGAAATACACACACACACACGCACACACACACACACGCACACACACACACACACACACACACACACACATGAAGAATCAGTACAAAGGCACAGAACAAAAACAGTATAGAAGTGTCTTAATTTTAATGTCAAAACCAACAAACTGTACCATTATCCAGAACGCTCTAACATTATGTACCTATATTTGAATCTATAGGATAAATCTTTCTTTTATTATCCTTTTTTTTAAAAAATTAAATTTTAATTTTTTATATTAGTTACAGTTTATTTACTTTGTATCCCAGCTGTAGCCCCCTCCCTCATTCCTTCCCAACCCCACCCTCCCTTCCCCATCTCCTCCCTGCCCCTCTCTAAGTCCACTGATAGGGGAGGTCCTCCTCCCCTTCCATCTGACCCTAGCTTATCAGGTCTCTTCAGGAATGGCTGCAATGTCCTCCTCTGTGGCCTAGCAAGGCTGCTCGTTCCTTGGGGGAGTGGGAGAGGAGGAGGTTAAAGAGCCAGCCATTGAGTTCATGTCAGAGACAGTCCCTGTTCCCCTTACTAGAGAACCCACTTGGATACTGAGCTGCCATGAGCTATATCTGAGCAGGGGTTCTAGGTTATATCCATGCATGGTCCTTGGTTGGAGAAACAGTCTCAGAAAAGATTCCTGTACCCACATATATTTGGTCCTTGTGGAGCTTCCTGTTCTCTCTGGGTCATACTAACTGCCCCTGCATCCTGCCCAAGGTTTGGGTATGAGTCTCAGCATCTGTTTTGATACACTGCTAGGTAGAGTCTTTCAGAGGCCCTCTGTGATAGGCTCTTGTCCTGTTACTTGTTTTCTCCTACTTCCCATGTCAATCCCACTTGTCTTCTAGGTGAAGATTGAACATCTTACCCCAGGTCCTCTTTCTTGTTTATCTTCTTTAGGTGTACAGATTTTAGTATGCTTATCCTATCTTATAGGACTACTATCCACTTATAAGTGAGTATATACTGTATGGTTCTTTCTGTTTCTGGGATACCTCACTCAGGATGATCTTTTCTAGATCCCACCATTTGCCTGCAAATTTCATGATTTCCTTGTTTTTAATTGCTGAGTAATATTCCATTGTGTGAAAGTACCACAATTTCTGTATCCATTCCTCCATTGATGGACATCTGGGTTGTTTCCAGGTTCTGGCTATAACTTTGCTTTGAACATGGTTGAGCAAATGTCCTTGTTGTGTACTTGAGCATCTTTTGAATATATGCCTAGGAGTGGTATAGCTGGATCTAGAGGAAGCACTATTTCTAATAGTTTGAGAAAACACCAGGCTGATTTCCAAAGTGGTTGTACAAGTTTACATTCCCACCAGTAACGGAGGAGGGTTCCCCTTTTTCCACAACCTCTCCAGCATGTGTTGTCACTTGAGTTTTTGATCTTAGCCATTCTGATGGGTGTAAGGTAAAATCTCAGGGTTCTGACAACAGTGTCCTTTGCTTTACAGAAGCTTTTCAGTTTCATGAGGTCCCATTTATTGATTGTTGATCTTAGAGCCTGTGCTGTTGGTGTTCTATTCAGAAAATTATCTCCTGTGCCAATGAGTTCAAGGCTCTTCCCCACTTTTTCTTCTAACCGATTTAGTATGTCTGGTTTTATGTTGAGGTCTTTGATCCACTTGGACTTTAGTTTTGTGCAGGGTGACAAATATGGATCTATTTTCATTTTTCTGCATGTAGACATCCAATTGGACCAGCACCATTTGTTGAAGATGCTGTCATTTTTCCATTGTATTGGTTTGGCTTCTTTGTCAAAAATCAAGTATTCATAAGTGTGTGGGCTTATTTCTGGGTCTTCTATTTGGTTCCATGATCCACCATCTGTTTCTATGCTAATACCATGTAGTTTTTGTAATGATTGCTCTGTAGTACAGCTTGAGATCAGGGATGGAGATACCTCCAGACGATCTGTTGTTGTACAAGATTGTTTTGAAAAAAAAAATATGGAACGCTTCGTGAATTTGCATGTCATCCTTGCACAGGGGCCATGCTAATCTTCTCTGTATCATTACAATTTTAGCGTATGTGCTGCAGAAGTGAGCATTAGGATAAATCTTGAACAGCTGCCTGATCGATATAATCCTGGAAGTAGCACTCAGAGATGTGAATGAATGAATGAATCAATCAATCAATTAATCATTTACAAGACACAAAGAAGAAAAAATGGTTGAGACTTGATGGAGGGGTGTAGGGAGGAACTGTAGCAGCTTCTACAGACTGACCCACCAGACTGAGGTCATTTGCCTTTGCTTTTTCCCCAGTGAAACAGCTAGAAACACATTCCTGTTATTTCCAAGCAGTTCTTAAACTCCCCAGAACGTTCCTCAATGTTCCTTTGGAAAAGGGAAAAGTAGAACAATTCAGAACTCAGTTTGTACTCTTCTTCCCCACTGAACATTCTTCTGTGTCAACATAATAAAAAGAAGCCAATTCTGTTTTATAGGAACAGAAACCATGCAGAATAAGCTGTGCCCAGGAACAGAGAGGCTGGCCCCACTGCACTGATGTGATCTACAATTAGCCGTTAGCCATCCTCCCTGTCCTGGGTCATGATTCATCACTGTCTAGGTTTGTGCAACCAGTGCCAGCTGGCATTCTTGCCAACTCTGATTCCTTCCTGTGCCCATTTTGGGATGCATGGAGGGAGCCCATAATGTTGTTGTCACATAAGCAGATGGTGTGACAGTTCCAGGCTGGGCATTGGAGGAAGAGGTGAAGATGTCACTGTGACAGAGGCAATTATGGATGAAGGATGACCATAAGTGGAGGGAGAGCACATACCAGAGACATTATTTCAGTCCTTCTTCCCTCTGAATAACAGTCTCGTACAAGAAAGTGCATAGCATGATAATTGTACCACAAGGATTTGGGAGGCAGATGTCAGCAAAACCAGAAACCCAGCCTCTAATGGTTGATAGTGCAGTTTTTCTACCCAGATCTCTGCTGATTAAAGTAAATGTCACAAAGAATTGTAACAAGAGAGTCACAAAGCTGAACAAAGTAAACAAAGTTTAAAAGTTTAAAGTGATTGTAGATCACTGATTTATAGATGTGGCGCAAGCTGGGATATCAGGGCTGCAAGTAGTGACAGTGGTGTGTGTGTGTGTGTGTGTATGTATGTGTGTGTGTGTGTGTGTGTGTGTGTGTGTGTATGTGTGTGTGTGTGAGAGAGAGAGAGAAGGAGCAAAGAGTAAAGCTAGGATGAGAGGCCTAGTATCTGGTCTATCTGGTGTCAAGTGTAAGGGTGTATATAGTTGACAACTTTAGTGTTCTGTGCCAACCTTCCCAATTTTGGGGATCCTGAAGCACAGAATTCCATTGTAACCTTACTCAAGTCAATAAACATTTCCATTTCTAATGAGGTTTTGGGTTCTAATGTGGTCATGGACTACTAAAGATAAAAAACTGACAACTCTCCCTCTGAACTCAGACAAGCTCTTCAAGATTTTCCATACAATTCTGGTAGCACTTGTCAACACTAGGAGCAGATCATGTGATCTGTCACAGAGTGTCATCTTATCCTAAGTAGAATTCATGTAGGTGGCAAATGAAGTGCAAGGGAAGGGCTTAACAGAAGAGCAGAGAAGAAGCTGCTGGTGGGGAAAAGTAGGTGCAAAGAGAATGGAGAAGACAGCACAGTGTCTGCTTAGGAGACTGTTCGTAGGGCTAAGAGTTTAGGCTCCCTGCTTTTACTAGGACCTATGTTTTTATGCCTCAGTTTCTTCATTTGTAAAAGGAATTACTAATGGTCATACCTATTTCTTTAGGTTATAATGAGGATTAATGAAAAGTGTGTATCTTGTCCTGAGAAAACACCATTTTCTAGCATCATGAATGGAATGAGTGTGTTTCAATATTTCTCCAAAACTAGTTTCTCTCAGGTTAGTTTTTCAGAAACACTGGGTAACGATGAGTTGGAAGATGTCCTTTAGCAAGCCTATGGCTAAGTAGTGCAGACCTGCGTCTTTGAAGTAGCAGGGAATTAAGATGTAGTTGAGAAAGGCAACCTCCTGAGATAAGCGCGGAACATGAAATGAGATATTTTGCATATGTGAATTCAGCCCCTCTTCTTTTAGAATTACCAAGAAAGCCTTTCAGGTATGAACACATGATGGAATGAAACTGCTACTGTTCACATACTATAAGGGGAACAGGAGCTGTCTCTGACATGAACTCAGTGGCTGGCTCGTTGATCACCTCCCCCTGAGCAGAAAGCAGATTTACCAGGCCACAGAGGAAGACAGTGTAGCCAGTCCTGATGAGACCTGATAGACTAGGGTCAGATGGAAGGGGAGGAGGACCTCCTTTATCAGTGGACTAGGGAAAGGGCATGGAAGGGAAGAGGGAGGAAGGGTGGGTTTTGGAGAGGATGAGAGAGGGGACTACATCTTGGATACAAAGTGAATAAATTATAATTAATAAAAATAAATAATTTTTAAAAATAAGCCAAAAGGAAGACAATGATGTACAATCATCAACCAGGTAACATGATGACATAACTTTAAATGCACCATCTTTATGACACACTCACCCTATGAGTATAATGAGCTATTGTCTTGTAGAGAAGGTGTTTCTTTCCTGAGCTCTCAGAACCAGTGAATGGTAGAGCCTTGCAGGAGCTGAACCTCTAGTGCCATTTTACTACCCTCTTATACTTTAACACTTGTAATTAGCAAAGTGAGATGACATGTAGAAAATGCTTAGCACAATGCCCTGAACTTGTTAGAGGTTCAGTTCTTTTTCTTGCTTTTAAATATCTATTTTTTTCCTGCATGTGACTATAGTGTGAGAGTAGAGGTTGACTCTATTCTCAAAGCTACTGAGTTCCCTCTCCTGACACTTCTTTCAAGGGCTTTGTTTTCTTCTTTTTCCTCAGCCTAAGTCATAAATGATGGTGCCCTCCAAAGCTCTTTCCTCCACAACCCTGTAATTATCTTTCTCTTTTTATCTTCTGGAGGTTTCAGTTCTTTCTGTCACTTCCATTCTTGCGCCAACTCCAAATACCCTCACATCTCCATTGTTGCCTCTTGGTGATTGCCATCCTGGAAAAACAGTGTTCAGAGATACTGAAGATGTTGAAGCAATATTTTTCTTCTCTCTTTTGTTCTTTCTCCTTCTACATACATCCACCACTGCCTGAATCACATAGCAATATCAATATTATCTTAGGATCCTCCTTCCTTCAATTCATACCATATCCAGCTGGTAGCCAACTTTTATGATTTCAGGTCCCCTTTTATTTATCCCATTTTCTTTCATCACTTGCCCCTGCCTTACTCATGACTCATGTAATCTTATCATCATCACTGAAATTTGCCCTGTCTGTTCTTGCAATCTTTGGGATTTCAGGCCCTCTATACCACTTGCTGTTAAAGAATTAACATCCTCAGCCTATTGTTTGGCTGTGGGTCTCTGCATTTGTTAATATCAGCCACTGGATGAAGCCTCTCAGAAGACAGTTATGCTAGGTTCCTGTCTACAAGCATAACAGAGTATTATTAATAGGGTCAGGGTTTGGCTCTCTCCCATGGGGTGGGTCTCAAGTTGGGCCAGTCATTGGTTGGCCATTCCCTCAATGTCTGCTCCATCTTTATCCCTACATTTCTTGTAGGCAGGACAAATTTTGGGTCGAAGGTTTTATGGGTGAATTGGTGACCCCCTTTCCTCTACTGGAAATCCTTCCTGGCTATAGGAGTTGGGCACTTCAATCTCCATATCCCTCACTGCTAGGAGTCTCAGCTATGGTCACTCCCATAGCCTCCTGGGAGGCTCCCCTGTCCTCCCAGAGATGCTCCACCCAGCCAGTTTCTCTCTCTTGGTCCTTCCACCCATCCCACCTCCACTCTCCCTTCACCTGATCCTTACCCTTGTTACCCTCCTTACCCCCTCTCCCACATGGTTCCCTCCTTCCATATACTTAAGATATCTATTATTTCCCCTTTTGAGTGGGATTCAAGCATCCTCCCTTGAGCCCTCCTTTTTATGTAGCTTCTTTGGGTTCATAGATTGTAGTATGGTTATCCTGTACTTTATGGCTGATATCCACTTATAAGTGGGCATATACCGTGCATGTCTTTCTGGGTTTGGGTTACCTCACTCAGGATGATCTTTTCTAGTTCCATCTGCCTGAAAATTGCATTATGTCTTTGTTTCTAAAAGCAGAGTAGTATTCCATAGGAATGATTGTGGGAGGTGGATGGGTGAAGAACACCACAAAAAGACCAACAGAGTAAACTAACCTGAGCCTATGGGGACTCACAGAGAATGAGCCACCGACTGAAGAGTCTAAACAGGCTGGACCTAGACCCCTATACATATGTAGCAGATGTGCAGCTTGGTCATCAAGTGGGTCTGCTAATAATGGTAGTAGGGGCTGTCTCTGGCACTGTTACCTGCGTTTGGATCCATTTCCCTTAGCTGGGTTGCCTTGTCTGGCCTCAGTGGGAGAGGCCAGTGCTTAATTCTGTTACAACTTTAGGTGCCAGGGTGGACCTCCCCTTCTCTGAGAAGGATAGTGGTAAATGAAGGAAGGAGGACATGAGAGAAGGACTGGGAGGAGAGGAGAGAAGGTCCTGGGATTAGGCTGCAAAGTGATTAAACAAACAAACAAACAAACAAACAAACAAACAAGTGGGGAAAAAAGAGTTATCATCCTATCTTGCCTAACTATCATGCCTAACCCTAAGAGGCTGAGGCAAGGATTTCACCGTGAGTTCAAGGCCAGCTTAAGCTATATAGTCAGTCTGAAGTACTGCTTGGCTACAGAGTGAGTATCTGTCTTAATAAATACATTTGAACATAATTAACCTGCATGGGTGGACAATGTCATTCTCAGAAGACATTGGTTATTAAAGAAAAGCTAAAGTGCAAGGCATAAGCTATTTCCCTATGATCTGGGGCCAGGGAGCCACCACAGGTCTGCAAAGCAACATGAGATATTACCATTGCTCTTGGTTGGTCACCATAATTACGTGCTAAGGCTCTATCGTCAAAGATATCTCATACTTTGGCCGCAGGACATAGAGGAATCAATCTCAAACTAAC